GCGGGCTCAGGCAATCCACTCCCCTCAGCCTCCCAAAGCGCGGGATTACAGGCTGAGCCACCGAGCCCGGCTGCTTCCAAACATTTTTATGTGGAAACTCTTCAGGGCTGTCACTGGTTCTTACTGCCTCTGTTTGTCTCATCTCCTCCTCTAACCGTCCCTCCCCATGGCTCCAGGTTTCTGAAGTTGCAATGATTGGCCACCTCCCAGAAGAAGGCGACATCCCCAGAAGCAGTCCACCTGTGGCTTTTACAGAGATCCTCCAGGCACCAGCCATCAGGATTCCCCCCTCTTCTCCTCTCTGTGGCCTGGGTGGCTCCCCCAGAGATCAGGCCTCGGGGCCTGATGCAAGTGAGGGGGCCACTGGGCCTTTCCTGGATCCCAGCCAGCAGCAGGTGGAGGCCACGTGGGAAGTATCAAGTGAGAATGGAGGGGGTCAGAAGGACCCCATGGTGGGAGCTGTTATGGATGAGCCCCCTGGGGGTCTGGAGGCCGTGAGCGGGTTGGAGGAGCTGCTTGGTGAGGACACCATTGACCAGGAGCTGGAGCAGCTCTACCTGTCCCACCTGAGCCGCCTTCGGGCTGCTGTGGCTGCAGGTGGGGCAGGGAGTGGTGGGGAGGGCCCCACAGATGGGGGGACATCCCCCAACCATCCTCTGGGCATACACACGGACCGCGACCTGATCTTGAAGTGGCCTGGCCCTGAGCGGGCCCTGAACAGCGCCCTGGCTGAGGAGATCACGCTGCACTACGCCCGGCTGGGGCGCGGTGTGGAACTCATCAAGGACATTGAAGACCCTGATGAGGAAGGGGAGGGCGAAGAGGGGCTCTCCATCACACCCTCCAGTCCTGAAGGGGACAGCCCCAAGGAGTCACCTCCGGAAATCCTCTCTGGGGCCTGTTCTGTGGTAGCCACTATGGGAGATGTGTGGCTCCCGTGGGCAGAGGGCTCAGGATGTGACAACCCTGTGGTTCTGGGTACGGAGGGTCAGTTCACTGGGGATCCAGAGAAAGGGATGGGCAAGGACACCAACTCTTTGCACATGAGTAGGGTGATAGCTGGGGTAACTGAATCCCTAGGGGAGGCAGGGATGGAAGCCCAGATGGAGGTCACCACTGAATGGGCAGGCAGCTTGGATCCTATCTCTGACAAGGAGCCAGCTGCTTCGGTCCTTTTGCGGGGGCAAAATCCTTTGGGGGCTGAAGTCTGTCTGTCTAGTGTGGCCAGGCCTCATATGAGCTCCCAGGATGAAGAGGATACAGGCCTGAGCCTTGAATCCCCAAAGGGGTCTCCCACCTTAGCAGCCCCTGCAGAATGTGTGTGTGCATTGCCTCCCCAGCTCCGGGGGCCTTTGACCCAGACTCTGGGGGTCCTGGCTGGGCTGGTGGTTGTCCCTGTGGCTCTGAACAGTGGTGTGTCCCTCCTGGTGCTTGCGCTGTGCCTATCTCTGGCCTGGTTCTCGTAAGGGCTGCTTGTGGGATCAGAAAGATCAGGCTTCCCCCTCTCTAGAATTTGGGGAGGGGTAGTCCTGTACCACCCAGAGGGTTGAGATGGGATATGTGGCCTGTGCAGTGAGCGGACATTCGTCCTTTGCTTCTGAGAATGCTCGAGTAGAGAGGAGCCTTCCTGTCCCTGAGATCTCCAGTCAGCACAGGGCTCCCTGTGGTGGTACCAGTGGAGAGGAGCAGGGGACAGGTGGCTGGTGTGAGTGAGAGGGACTTTTAGGATGGAACTGGGCATGTCCTCCCCCCCCCCCCCG